TCCTTCTCCTAGACCAGTTGCCATCCAAGGCTATAGAACCCATTCTGCCCTGCTATTTACCCATAGCTGGAGGGAGAAGAAGAGGATTCATATATATATATATATATATATATATATATAGATTTAAGATATTGTTTATTTATGGGTAAAAGTGCTCAATATCAGAGATAGTGTATGTAAATATAAAAATTGACAGGGGGGTCAAAGTTGACATGTGGTGCTGATCTCAGTGCTCATATATATTGATTCGTCTTTAAGATACAAGTTAAATCCCTTTTTATCATTTGGTTTTTCATCATAACATTGTATGAAGACAATATATTTATTACTGACTCTTGTCAAGATCAGCTATAAGGTGTCCTGGGTAAGACGATATAATACATCTGACAGCAAGGCCTCTGATCAGGTGGCTTTGAGGGGCGTGGGACCACTTTTTAATTAATGGTGTTCCCAAGTCCACCCTGAACCAGGGTGGTACCACCTGTTAAGGTCCCAGCTATGACAACTGCACTGCATGGCCTCAGCCCAATCAAATAACAGGAACCATTACTCATTGGACCATGCCACATGCTGTCAATCCTCTTGGGATTCAATTCGCAATGGCACAAGCCCATGTGATTCACTGTGTCCCATCATCATGATGTTAACAGAGCCATTCTGTTCTTATGTCCTATGGAAGGGGAAGACAGCTGAACTAACCTGTTGGATGTTTGTTTGGTTACTCCTGTATTGAATAATTTGAGCCAATCTCGCTTGTCACTGCAGATAATTTTAGCCAGGTAACTCTAGTTATGATCATTAAGAACTCACAATTGGCTACTGCTCTGTCTATGATCGGTAGTAATGCCTTCCATCAAGTCTTCCAGGTACACATGACACTGTAGGTTGAAGGCTGTCAACTGATGTGAAATAGAAAGTCCCGTCCACCTGGATCCCTGATGATGGCCTTTCAAAATCTGATAATTTTGTGCTGCCTTGTCACAATCAGCCTAACCAGTGTTTACACTGACTCACCAGATATCAGAGCACAGTTAGTAAAGGTCTGGGCATTTCCATGACATCAAAATACAGAGGTGCCACCAGCCATTATCTTTTCATATGACTAACTCATGACATTTTCTAAGTTAATCTATTTGGATAACTAATTTCTTTTGCAGATGACTACTCAGACACATTTTGGGTTTCTGTGCTTTATACTAAATATATGTTGAGCAGAACTTAATTACAGTTTCAGTGAAATTATTATCTGACATGACCAATACACTTACATACTCGGTCACAATGATTTGTTACTTTGTGCTAGCACAGTCATCAATGGCTTCTGAACAGTTTGTTTCTACCCAATTTCACTCACAAGGCTTGGGTCACCTTATTTTATAGTGTTCAGGCATTCTTCCCAAAGCTGATATTATCAAGTAGTTACCTCTTTGACAAATTGACCATGGTGAGATTCTTACTAGTTAGTAATGTGTCCATTAAAATATATATATATATATATATATATATATATATATATATATATATATATATATACCCAAGTATATAATTGGTGTATACAGAATGAATTCCAATAACCAACAATTACTATTCTGAAAGACATTCAACATCATTACTTGATAAGACATCAGAGGTGTTGAAACAAAATGGCTATTTTTGTAGTGATTTTGTAACATATTTATGTTATAATTTTTAAAAATAAATAATTATATATATATATATATATATATATATGGCAATCCCTCTTTTATGCAAGTTTCATTGAAAATAACAGACAGGTTGTGGTGGTTAAGTTTTTTATATAATTTCTCATGCTGTAGTTATTGTTAACCCAAGTACTTTCAATCTTTTCCAAGATGATAAGTCTTCCTTTTGTCAAATAACGTATATCTTAACTTTCTAATTCTTTTGATAACATGGGTTGAATCAACATCTCTTTTCCATCCTCCCAAAGTGAATGTCAGACGCTCCACTTATTTAAACTTATTAAACAAATCTTCCTTGAAGATGTGCTAAAAATTGTTTTGAAATATGATATTATAAAGATTTTAAGAAAAAAACAAAAATTCAATTTTTCCCTCCAGAGAGATAGACGAATTGATACAGCCATCTTGGTGACACTCATTACTCTTAATGATGCCAATTTTTCAAAATAACAAGGAAATTTTCTTTTTTTTTTTCACTCTGATTTAATTAGATGGCAACTAAATTATTGGATAATTTTTTTTTGGTTTTTGTAGTTCAAAATGTTGTTACTATGCACAGTATTATTAATTTGTGATGACATTTTTCAACCTCAAAATGACTAAATCTGATCATCTGTCTGCTGCATCCACCATTTTGTTTTGCATGATAAAATATTATAACTTTTCTTGTTTTTGTCTTTTCTTTCGTTCTTCTGTTTCTCTTTCTTTTCATATTCCTTCAGTTTTCTTTGCCCCTCCTTTCTTTCCTTGAGTATCTTTAACTGTTTTGTTCTTTTCTTTTCCTTTTTCTCTAGAATATTTGTCAATTATTTCTTTTATTAATCTTTCTTCCACTTATTAAATTTTGTTTCTTCATGGTTTATAATATTTTTCCATGGGATTTTCTTTCCTTCTTTTGCTTTTTCCTTTTCCATTTTAAATTCTCTCTGTGCTTTCTAGCCTTTTTTATTCTCTTGCTTTCTCTACCCTTTCACCATACAGGAACCTTTCTCTACAGGGTTTTCCTTCTCTCTCTTTTTGCTCCGTGGCTTTCTTTTTTTCCCCACTTTTACTAACTGGCCTTTTTTCTTCTCCCACTTTGATCTCCAGACTTCTTTCTCTCCCCAGATTTCTTTCTCTCTCTTTCACTGTCTGGATCTCTTTCTCTCTCCTTTCACTCACAGGATCTCTTTCTCTCTCTCCTTTCACTCTCGGGATCTCTTTCACTCTCTCCTTTCACTTTCAGGATCACTTTCTCTCTCTCCTTTCACTCTCGGGATCTCTTTCTCTCTCTCCTTTCACTCTCGGGATCACTTTCTCTCTCTCCTTTCACTCTCGGGATCACTTTCTCTCTCTCCTTTCACTCTCGGGATCATTCTCTCTCTCCCCTTTCACCCTCCAGATTACTTTCTCTCTCTCTCCTTTCACCCTCCGGATTACTTTCTCTCTCTCCTTTCACTTTTGGGATCTCTTTCTCTCTCTCCTTTCACCGTCCAGATTACTTTCTCTCTCTCTCTCCTTTCACCATCCAGATCACATCCTCTCTCTCCTTTCTCCATCCAGATCACTTTCTCTCTCTCTCCTTTCCCCATCCGGATCACTTTCTCTCTCTCTCTCTCCTTTCACCATCCAGATCACATCCTCTCTCTCCTTTCACCATCCGGATCACTTCCTCTCTCTAATTTCACCATCCGGATCACTTCCTCTCTCTCCTTTCACCACCTGGATCACTTTCTCTCTCTCTCCTTTCACTGCCTGGATCCCTTTCCCTCTCTTCTTTCACCATCCGGATCACTTTCTCTCTCCTTTCACCATCCGGATCACTTTCTCTCTCTCCTTTCACCATCCGGATCACTTTCTCTCTCTCCTTTCACCATCCGGATCACTTTCTCTCTCTCCTTTCACCATCCGGATCACTTTCTCTCTCTCCTTTCACCATCCGGATCCTTTCTCTCTCTCCTTTCACCATCCGATCACTTTCTCTCTCTCCTTTCACCATCTCTCTTCTCTCTCTCCTTTCACCATCCGGATCTCTCTCTCTCCTTTCACCATCCGGATCACTTTCTCTCTCTCTCTCTCTCCTTCCACTGTCCGGATTACTTTCCCTACTCTTTTGCTCAGTGGTCCTCTTTCTCTCGCTCTGCATTTTTTTTCACTCATGCATCTCTCTCTGGAGGTTCTTTCTCTCTCCTTTCACTCTCCCAGGTCTCCTTTCTATCCCCTTTCAATCCCCAGGTCTCCTTCTCCCCTTTCAATCCCCAGTCTCTGGTCTCTCCCCTTTCACTCTCTGGTCTCTCCCCTTTCACTCTCTGGTCTCTCCACGGTCTTCTTTATTTCTTTCTTTTCCTGGCCTTCTTTCTCTTTCCTTTCACTCTCCAGCCTTTTTTACTTCTTTTGCTCTCCAGCCCTCTTTCCCTCCCCTTTCATTCTCTGGCCTTCTTTCCTTTCCCTTTTGCTCTCTCTCTCTCTCTCTCACCTTCTTTCCTTTCCCTTTTGCTCTCTCTCTCTCACCTTCTTTCCTTTCCCTTTTGCTCTCTCTCACCTTCTTTCCTTTCCCTTTTGCTCTCTCTCACCTTCTTTCCTTTCCCTTTTGCTCTCTCTCACCTTCTTTCCTTTCCCTTTTGCTCTCACTCTCTCACCTTCTTTCCTTTCCCTTTTGCTCTCTCTCTCACCTTCTTTCCTTTCCCTTTTGCTCTCACTCTCTCACCTTCTTTCCTTTCCCTTTGCTCTCTCTCTCACCTTCTTTCCTTTTCCCTTTTTCTCTCTCTCACCTTCTTTCCTTTCCCCTTTTTTCTCTCACCTTCTTTCCTTTCCCCTTTTTTCTCTCACCTTCTTTCCTTTCCCCTTTTTTCTCTCACCTTCTTTCCTTTCCCCTTTTTTCTCTCACCTTCTTTCCTTTCCCTTTTGCTCTCTCTCTCACCTTCTTTGCCTCCCCTTTTGCTCTCCAGCCCTCTTTCTCTTTCCAACCTTCTTTCTCTGGATTTCTTCCCATCTCTTATATTTTTATTTGGTCTTGTGTTTCACTTTCTGTTTTCACTTTTTTTTTTCATTTTCTTTCTTTCCCTCTTTGTTCCCTCTCTCTCTCTCTTTTCTTTTGATAATTTTCATTTTTCTTCCAGTTTCCTTCATTTCATTTTTCCTTTCACTCATCTCTCTTTTTTTCTCTTTTCCATCTTTCTTCTTTCATCTTTCTTTTTTCTTTTTCTTTTTTTTGTCTTTTCTTTTCATTATTATTTTTACTCTTCATTTATCTTCTCCATCTTCTTTCTTGCTTTTTATTCTTTTTTTTTTTACTATTCTCTTTCAATCTCCTTTTGAACCTCTTTTTCTTATTCTTCTTCCATAATTTCTTCTTAATTTTTATAAATCCTTTTCTTCCCCTGTTCTCAAAAATCCGTCTTCCATCTCAGATAATCAATATAGCCAATAAGTAAGAAATCAATCATAATACGACTCAAATGGAAAACAATGTCTAATAGCAGATGGCAAATCAAATTGGCTATGCCATTCAGACAATTCTCATAAAATAATATTGAACAAATTTATTACAAAAACTTCAACTGTAAAGAAAAAAATCCAGAGATTCTAATTCAGAATTTTAAATTAAAAAAAATTAATTCATCATAAAAAAATGTTGTTTAGGCTTTTGGCATTAGTAAAATAAATCGTTATTGGACTGGAGAAAAATTTTGACAGATGAGCCTTCTAAACTCGTGAACATAAATTTAGACAATAAAACCAAACTGCTGCTGTCACTTTTTAGCAAATTCTTATCTGAAAGGCATGAATTTAATTCACCCTGCATCATTTCTTATACACATACTAAGCTAAGTATGATTTTGTCACCATTATTTACAAGGCCTCTAGATATGCGGAAAAGAATATAAAGGACATTTGGAATTTAAATTCAAATAATTTCTAATTTGAATATATTGACATTAATTGACAGAAAATAATATTGCGTGATTTTGGTTGGTTAATTTCGTTTAGTGGCATATCAACCCCTTCATGAGTCATTCAATGCTGAAATTTGAACAATTTTAAGGCTTCAACTAAATATATTTTGAACACAGTTGAATTTCTTGAACTACAAATAAAATGTATTACTGGTTATGTTGCTTTAAAAATGTATTGTTGCTAATTACACTAATGAATAGGTATTTTTTGCATAAAAATGTATTGCTTGTATTTTTATTACAAAAGATGTCTTTTTATACTTTCATAGTGTTTTGCTTCTGTTTGGTGGGGTTCATTATTTGCCCATAGCTGGGATCCTAACAAGTGCTACTACCCTGGGTCATGGTGAACCTAGGAACAACAGCAATTAAGAGCTGGTTCCACGCTCCTCAAAACCTCCAAACTCCTGTTCCAAGGCCTTGCTGCCGGATGTAGAATATTACATGAGGCAAACTTAAAAATATGAGTCAAAGAGGTTACTCTGTATTTCTTTCTGACAAATCTGCCATATCTGTGTATGCACTCTTAAATTTGCTTGTTGTCTATGATAGGTGTCACCTTGATACGACCATCACAAGTCATTATTTTAATACTTAGTTGTGTTTTAAATGAATATGGCTCTTTAAAACAGGCAAACTTTTAAAAGGCCTGGCACCAAGTTGGCATACATGCGACACATTCATTTTGTTGTCATTAAGGTCTATTTTTGTGAGAGTTAGCAAGTCTTTTCAGACCACCAGCTGATGTGAACACATTTTTTTATATAAATGTGACATAAATTGTTAGTATTAAATACCATTGCATGACTATCTGCTATTTTGGTATGATGACTTTGCATATGACTCACTTAAACATTTAAATTACTTCTTGTCAAGGTTAACAATAGGGACAGCACCTTTATGCTTCTGTGTTAGGACAAGGAAAGTAGGTATGAAAGAATACTTTGCTTACCTACGCTTTACTCTGGCAGCATTTACAGAATATTAATGAAGAGATATTAGTAAAGGAAGTAGTGTGTTCATGCCTTGCCCAAGGTCATTTGTATGAAGTGAATAAAACAGCTTCAGAGAGAGCTTTTTCATGCTGTTAACTATTATACCAATATTTCTTATGATTCCATCCATATATATATATATATATATATATATATATATATATATTTATGTGAAAATTTCTCCAATTTAACCAGTAGAGAAGACAATATTTATGAATAAAAATGACAATAGGAAAACTGGTAATTGCTGACGCGTTTCATCCAATGTGGACTTTATCAAAGCAAAATACGAAAATGAAATGTCTTTTTTATTCATAAATATATATATATAACACATGTAGATGATGCTATTATATTTGACAACACAAATATAATAGCATCATCTACATGCCAAAAAAGTGCTAAAAATAATGGAAGCCTTATTGATAAAAACAAAAAAAAACATCCAATAACATCAACTATGAACATGAACACAATATCTTGACTGTATTTTGAATGAAAACGTTATATAAATACATATATGCAACAAACTATTTCTTGTTAACAGTTAATATATTTCAACCTTGAAAATGGCTAAATGTATAACTGAAAGGGCTTGGAAGGAAAGAACAATTGGGCAGTTTTATATAATTTATCTACCAAAAAGAAAAAAAATTAGTATAAAAAACTTAATCAAAGCAACTTGTCTGTTATATTCAAGGAAACTTGCATGATTGCTGCCTAAATACAATATATATATATATATATATATATATATATATATATATATATATATATATATACAATTAGCAGAAAATGTACACTTGTGAAATAGTAACAAGGGGAAATTTGCATGACATCATCTTCTATAATTCAACGAATAAAATTTCCTAAATATTTGTTTGTCACATACAGCAACATGATTTCACTTAGTAACTAAATATAAAATTTACAAAGTTTTTCAATGGTAATGCAACTTTGGAAACACCTTTTACACACACAAACCAGTGATATCTCTAACTGATTATGAGGATTTATGGCTGCATCTTGCTGAAAGTTAAGCAATGCTGAGCCTCGTCTGTACTTAGATGGGTGACCACTTGAAAATATTAGGTGGTGTAATGGATAATGGCTTGCGTTGTTAATTGAAGAGCCAAGTTCCAATTTTTGTTGGGTTTTGTGGGGTTACCCCCACTTTCCTAAAAACACAATCGCTAGGGGATGATCCCTAAGACTATAAATAGGAAGTGACATTCTCTGTCATCCTCTCTTTTCTGTTAGTCATGTGGAAGGCAAGATGTAGGTTGAACATGGAAAAATGCTTTTCCCACTGGGGCATACACACACATACGCGTGTGCGCCCACCACTTTCCATTACATTTCTCTTGGACTTCTGCACCAACATCTTCACTAGTTAAAATGTTTTCTTCTTTCATGTTCATTGTTTTGTCATACAATCTTCTATTGTCTATATATACCTTTGTTTTGTTAATACATACATTACTGTTTGGTTATATAAATATATATATATATATATATTTTTTTTGTTACTTTATTTATTACCCAGACTCACATTCGCATCTGCAATAATTGTTATGGGATAAATACATTAGGAGACATGTATTATTCTAACTTAAACACAACCAGCATCCCCAGCAATAGGTTTGTTATATTCCCTTACACATAAAAATTACCCCCACTAAACAAAAAAAAAAAAAATTATAATGTGAGCACAAATTCTTATAAACAATTGAGCAACCCCAATATTGATCAAAAACCTAAGTTGCTTATTACAAAAAAAATAAGATGCATAGGTTTTTAAACTGTCAAAATTTCTAAACTGAAGCAATGTCAGCAATTAATCATTTTCATTAATATTTCTTTAATCTTATCTCTCTTAATCTTGCATCTATTAGTTATGGGGGTAATAGGCGGAGAGAGGAAAGAGATGGGAGTTGACAAAAATAACAGTTCCTCGACAACCACTGCAACTTGAGGAACAAAAATAACTATGGGACTGACTTCACTGTGTCTTGGCAACTGCCCACTGCTGGTTTTCCCCCTGCTTTTATTGGCACGAAGCATCTTACAAAGAACCAGATCTTGACCAGTTTCAGAGAGGCCTGTATGCAGACATGCCAAGCTGTCCTGCTACTAATGAGAAAAACCTGATGTAACTGGTTTCAACAAACATGTCCACACATAATCCAAGGCCTCTTTTATGTCTGTACTGACATACATTCATCACATAAAACTTAAGAAAAGTTGAATATTTGTGAACATAAATGTTCAAAGTGTTTCTATTTTTTTTCTATATTGGTGATATTTGTGATCATTTCTGATGTTATTTGACTGTCTGAACTTTGCTTGTACCTTTCTTCTGAACTTATTAATCCTGAAATATCACTAGGTGTGTTCTCTTGTATAATGCTATGATAAAGAGATCAGCTCTGAGGACAAATGTTGAAGCTTAGCAATTAAATGTTAATTAAATTTGACTGGAGGGTTAATTAGTTATGGCTTGAAACGTCAAATAAATATGGAAACAGCTGTTAAACTCTGGCTGATTTCAAATGGAATCTCTCTGTTCTAGATTAAAACTAGTGCGCATGTTTTTAGAGCTGCATGATGACAGCCACAGCAAAAGGTACGAGTAAGATCTGGCTTATGCCTGTAATTGAAATTGTACAGCATAAATCCCCTTGGTATCTGTCTATATTTCTGTGATGAGGTATTATGTACACTATTTACATTATTCGGACTATTGTCCTCATCTTTGTCGCCATATTTATTACGTTTCGGCCTTCCAGTATCTGTCTATATTTCTGAGATGATGTATTATGTACACTATTTACATTATTTGGACTGTTGTCCTCATCTTTGTCGCCATATTTATTACAACGTTTCGGCTGTTGTAAGCTCCGGTCTTCTTCAGGTGGTTGGAATGCTGAATTGAACCCTTTATTTCTCTCACTGGGGTAGACTGTTCTAGTTTTACATGCCATGTTTAATGGATGTCAGTTATCTCCTGCTTAAGCTGGGTATTGAACTAACTCTCTTTGGGTCCTGTCATTGGATCTCACCAAGGACACATGGCACAGTGTATAAAGGCGTTAGTTAGATTTATTTAACTTATTGCTGAAGATATCACTTTGTTATTTTTAATTTATTTTGTTTAAACATTATTTTTAATGGATACTTGTATTCAAGTAGAAGCTCTGTTTTTTAATTAAACAGTATTTATTTTATCCAACTGCCTGCCTGAATATTTGAGAAATCTTTGTCACCAGTTTTCAACCATTGTTTCGTGTCTTTCTGAATTAACCATTTTTACTGGGCACCCTGTATATTTCTCCTCTCCAGCCAATCCTGCAAATATCATGGCCTA